CGGCCGAGTAGACCTGGTACACCTTGTCGTCTTTATACCGCTAAAGTCCCTTACATCGTCGGAACTCACAACAGGCTGCGTCTTGTAGAGTAGAAATTCTACTAAAACATAAAACACTGTAGAGCCCGGGCAGGATCGACGGGTTGGAGCAAGCGGGCAAACAAAACGAGTCGAGAGCGATCGTTCATGAAAGCTCGGCGAAGCCTCTGGGCGAAGCGAAATGGCGTTTTCGGCGTTTCGGCGGGCTTCTGATCAAGGTTGTCGGTCGGCTGCGTGTCATATCTCTAACATCAGCGGTTTTATGGGCTCACGTCCCGAAATCGTTTTCTTGTGCATAGATTATTTTTCGTATTCATAGATTTGACGAAATAGTGGTATCCGAACGAACTTTACGTCCTTTGACCGTACGTCTGTCTGCACGTCAAAGCGTTTTGGCGTACAGTCAGAGCCAATCGATGTACAATCAGAATCGCCACCAAGACATCTTGATGGAATTTCGCGGCGGCCGACTGCCACCAGGAAACCATCAGAAAGCCGACAAGTGGAGTCTGACTGGAGTTTGACTGTCGGTCAGAGTAACTTGTTGGCCAATCAGACATGTTTGACGTACAGTCAGGCACAGTCAGCGGTCCACTAGAAAACATTGACTGCCAAGCAGGGTTACATTGATGGATTTTTCCTTCGGGAAGGATGAGGTATATCTCAGGTGATGCGCGATCCGCGGAGGAAAATGGCGGATTTCTCCTTCGTGTGGGGTATCAACACGAAGGAGAAATCCGCTACCTTCTTCCGCGGAGCGCGCATCACGTGACATATCCGTCATCCTTTTTTGACGCCTCGCGGCACCGTTCACCTCCGCGGCGGAGGCACGGAGGCTTCGTTCGGTCATCACGAAAGCTCCGCACGTGGGCGGCGGAGCCGAGGATGGAGTTTCCCGGGATGTTGACGTCACGACATCCGTCCGCGGAGTTCTCGTTCGTGTGCATAAGAGAAGATATTCATCGGTGTACTGAGTTGGCTAGCGCGTGACGCTCTCGCGCGCCCAGTTGTTGACTGATGCGGTGAAATTGCGCTTAAAGGGGCACTGACACCCCAAAGATCGTATTTTTTTTTATTGTCTAAAGCGATGCAAATTGTAATCATAGACACGCAAAAAAAAAAACGCGTCGCGAAAAAAAATGTTTACGCGCGCGCGCGCGCCTTTTTATTTTTAACGTTTGAAAAAGCGAGGAGGCCTTTCGCCTCCTCGCTTTTTTTTTTTATTCGTGACGTCAAGAATCATGAAATTTAGAAGCTTTGTAGGCGACATCTCTGTAACATTTAATAACGGCAATCCTATAACATGTGTTTTAACGCAATTGCGAACGCACTACTCCCCTTCTGTTTGAAATACCAAAAATCCGGAGTTCGTTGTGGTGCCGTTTCCTCCCACGGAAAACAGGCGACACCACTCAAAACCAGTCCGCCGGCGCTGGCTCCTTTCCTCCTCGCTTTGGGTCGCCATGGCTACAGCAGGGAGTCGTGAAAGAAAGTGGACTCTCAGGACTCCGCAATATTTGACATCAACGCACCGGCGCGGATCGCGCGGGAACTTCGAATTCGGCATTGATAAATTGTTTTTTTACTTCACAAATACTGAATTCCCAAATTTCAAATTTTGAGTGTAATGTCCCGGCATCGTTTTCAATAGTTTCGGATAATAAAAAATATATGGTTTTGATGTGTCAGTGCCCCTTTAAGCATTAACCAAGGCTACATGCTCGAACTGAGTCACATCGGATTCTAGACATTTCGAAAGACAAAAAAAAGCATTGGGCGGAAAATGGGCGAGATGTCACCACTCAAGCAAAACAGCACGTGTTTATGCTATGGCAGTCTATAGCTTCGGTTAACTGGGACATCTGCGTTGGCGTTCACAGTTGATAAAGTGAGGCTGCTCGCATTGTTTACGAGGTGCTGAACCTAGCAATCTCGCAAGGTAAAATCCACCCCTGAACAACATTTTCTATAAAAAATTGAATTTTCTGTGCATAGGTGCCGATTGTTCAGCCCGATTTTAGTGGGAAACCCAGGGACTATAACACCCTACCCATGGCTTACTCTGACGTAACATCAGTGGCTGTTCCGACCCTGCTGCAAAGGGGGTAGTACCCTCTACAGTACCCCTTTCGCACCTTGAAATTTTCTTTTCTCTGCTTGAACGAGTAAAAATGACCACCAGCATAATACGGTGATATTGCTTGCAAATCATGTGCGTATATGTATAGCCTCCTACATAGGGGGAAATCTTGCAAATTAAGCGCCAAAATAATAGCCCGCTTGGCAGCCGCAGAGGAGGGTGGAGAATGGAAGACCATATTGGCAGCGCTAGGAAAACCGCGGAGGCGAACTTTGAAAATAAACACCTCGCAAACCCCACCAAGGCAGGGTGTTTCACTAAATCGCCGCTACGGCGCTGTACCTCTGCCTGCCTAAAACATCTCGACAGAGTACACAAACATATAGAAAGGCTTTTCCCTGCCTCGCTTTTTTTCTTTCACCTAGATTGGCTACCGGTTTCGGAGCTGCCCTTGAGGGCTTTCCTATTAGGTGTACACAGACTTGTACGTAATCCGTTACAAGTAACGAAATTAATTGTCATCCCTTACATTTATTGTTAATTTAGTAACGGAATAATTACATATTTTCTAGAGTAATTTTAAAGTAATTCCCTTACATTTTTTACGTAACAGATTCGTTGTAGTCCGTTACATGTTTTCAGGACCAGCCCCCCCCCCCCCCCCCCCCTTCCCTCCCCCCCCTTCTAAAGAGAAGGTATTTTTTTTTTATTTTGGTAAAGTTGAGCGCAGTGACACTGTCATGCGTATTGACCAGCGCAAAAGGAGGCATGGCATCTTCAGTTCCGCAAAGCCTTGCTTTGCAACACCAAGCCCCGGATTCTATTTTTTTCTTTTACACCTTAACAACAACGTAAAAAAAAATCCAAATAAGCATTTCTACAAACAAAAAGTAAAAAAAGGGGGAGGGGGGGGGGGCGGGGGCGAGTTATATCCGCGTTATTAGTGTCTTTCTGTTTCTTTTTTTTTTTTGCGATCAAAGGCGGGGAGAGGAGGACTCCAAGTGATTGTATGCCTCTTCGAGAAGCTCGAGGCGGTAAGTGAACAAACAAAAATTAACAATGTCCTCCTCGGTTATAGTGACAAGGACCATTTTCATAATGTCACAACACCAGACAACGCTCCATCTACTTTAAAATCCATTAAAACATACGTGATAATATGTGAAGGTGTTATTGGAACAAGCATCCTCGTTCGTTGCTGCTCACTTTGCATCATCTCTTGCAAAACAGGATGGGATTTTTTTCTGCTCCTTTCACGTTATTTGACCCTGTTTTAAAGGCTATTTACTCTTTTGTAGTCCAACTTCTAGGGTTGGCCCACTTTATTTCTGAATTCCAGCCAGGTTGTCTGCATCTCAGTCACCCTTTTTGTGAGTCACCCTCTTTGTGAGTCAGCTCTTTGCGGGCATTTCGAAAATTGTAATAGTCTTCCTTTTTTTTCTTCTTCCTGTTTTTACCCCAGCAGGGCGCCAGCTTATCTCAAGCAGATATTTCTACAAATACAATATAGTGGTACGTGGCTGATGTAGACTTGATATTCTGGGCTTGAGGAGAGAGTGAAACTCGTGAGTGAGGCTTACTTGGTGTGGCTTACTTAGTACTCCACCCTTCACTGCCCGTGGCATCAGCGGACGTCTATCTGGAGAACACCGGAGTAAACTGCAGTCGGTCCGTGCTCCGCGCGTTTTTAAACGGCACCAAGAAAAGTACACACAGCAAACGTGCATTTACACTCCCTCCTGAAATTCATTCGGGGGGCAGGCATTCGCCATCTATTTTAACATATTTTCATCCGACATCATCCCCATCACTCATCTCCTCCCACAAATGGTCTGAGATCAAGGTGGTGAGGGCATCAATAAAAACAAAACGTGAACAACAACAACACTTCCTTGTTTTAACCTACGTTATAATTAATTGCAGTTATGAGTGTCCTGGTGTTTTTTTTTCCAGATTAATTATATTTATTGGAAACTCTTATTCACGAACGTCTTAACCGAGGCTTCACCTGTTTAGAACCAAAGAATGAAGAATATCGAGCCAAACCTTATTTATTATTTAATTCTCACCTTACTGTTACCAACTCTACTGCAACTCTCAAATATCAGGCAACAACTGCAACGATAAAGCTTTGCTTTATCTTCGAGCTAAATAGTACTTCCATTGCTTTGCTGAAAAAGCTCAACGTAGAGCATTAAATATTCGTGAGGCATAATATAGCACTCCCATCCAGTGCCTCAATTCAGAGGGTGTTCAGCGTAGTAGTCGACATCTTCAGTAAGAAATGACAAAAAATGTCTGACGAGACTTTCGAGAGCCAGTTGTTGCTCAAAATACTCAGGTTCAATAAATGGAAAAGGTAACAACAATAAGAACTTGAATAACCTTCTTCCCTGTGTTTCTTAGTTGAGGAAAATCTTGTTGACAGTAATTTCACGAAAGTGACGGATTACTTTTGTGGGCAACGACCACTTACTTTTATGAGAGGGTAATTGTAATTGTAAAAAATTACAATTTAGCCTTGAGTAACTGTAAATGTAATTTCTTACTATTTTTCAGTGACGTGTACAAGTCTGGACCGTGTAAATCAAGGTAACTCGAGTCCGTATACGTAATCGACACGTCTACCTTCATAATTGGAAGTTTATTGAAAAAATCTGGATAAGCATGGTTTCAGCGATCGTTGATAAGAAAATCGTTCTATTCGTCGGATGTAGATTAAAAGTGCACCGCGAAATGTTCATTTCTGAGGCAAGCAACAGCCGGAACACCACAGACAAAATATGATATCTACGATATACGAGTAGAAAACTGCACAATAAACGATTACTTTCGATAGAAGCGAATTAAAAAACTCAGGTGGTCCAAACTGTGCCGGAGGTCAGGGTTGACGTCCTGAGCCGGAGAAGGTTGCGTTGGGTCCGAGGCGGGGTTTCTTGCTGTCCCCCCTGACCGCGACGGTGGTCTTGGTCATGGAGCCCCAGCGGGGGCCGTCCATCGGCGGCCGGTCGAAAGCGGCCTCGTCGTGGGCGCCGGGGTCCCCGAGGGCCTCGAGCGCGAAGAAGGCGAGCGTGAGCAGGCCCGTGCCCAGGAAGTCGCCGGTGCCGGCCAGGAAGGGGATGGCCGCGTTGTCCGGGTCGACGCGGCAGCGCCACAGGGCGTACACCAGCAGCCGGCACAAGTACAGCAGCACCGCCACCTGCGCGGGAGTGCACCGCGGCCGTATATAGGGGAGAACGAAACAAGGGACCTCTTTCGCGAGTCCGTCGAGCGAGATGGGCGGTCGCCGTTCCTCGGGCACGAAGAGAGGAATTCGAAAAGAGTCTATGTCGAATGCAGACGCAATCCTTGAGTCCAATGCTCGCCTAGGGTAAGTGCGCAGACAATGGCGGACTCGGATGATTGGCATTTATTTCACTACTAAAACTACTCAGCAAAAAAGAAGACAATGGCGTCTTTCTTACTAGCAAGTATTTTTCACGGAAAAAAGAAAAGCTACGAGCGCCAACAATCTAGATTTTTTGTTTGATGAATGCTAGGCTTAGGTGGACATGGGCTCTTTAAAAAAAATATTTTCCATTTTCGATTTAGGTAATGTCCTGTGCTCAAACTTTCGGATTTTATGACCACATCTAGCGCCGCATGTTTACGCAGTTTCAGCTTTCTGCGATCCGCAATTTATTTACGCGAACCGAAAAACCCGGCTTTTAATATCCGGATCAATTCCGGTAAAATACACTTAATGCATCTGAAACCTCAACACGTCTTTATTAATTTTGTTTAGATGTCGTCCAAGACCATAATACTTAATTCGTATAATCTTCATACTCTGTATTTGTCAGCATCTCACTCATTAAGCAAACTTAATAATTATTATGTTTGACTTCCAGGGTACTTGTCTCGTTTATTTTCTATATGCCTCGCAAGTGGGCTCATTTTCGTCTTCTGCGCATGAGAAAGGAGGTAGCGGTGACGTCAGAATGCCGAGCCCTGATTGGCTGATCGCGACCCCCTATCTGAGCGTCGTCTGCTCCTGTGCAACGTCGTCTGCTCGCAACGTCGTCTGCGTCTGTCTTACCTTTCCTGCGACTTTCGGAAGTCGAGCGAGCTCGACTTCGCCTTTCAGAGAGGGCAGACGAAATAACTGGAGCGGTACGTTGTTTCTGTCTAATAACTAGCAGACGCGCATCAAGAAGGAAGTCAAAGGACTCACTGGCGAGGTGTCCCGAGGCGCCGAGGTTTGTTTGCTAAGAACCGAGAGTGAGCGTGTTAGTGTCCGCAAGTTCCCTCCCAAATACTTTTTCCCTCCTTTCGTTTGCGGCGAGACTCTTCACTCTTTAACGGCGTCGGCGGGTTGGCGCAGTTAGCGTCGTCTGCTTTACGTCTGCTAGTCAAAGCGATGGCTGCTTTACCTTTCCTGCGTCTGTTGGAGATTCACCGCTTTTTTACCGGCGAGAGTCACCGTTGCCTCGGAAAACAAGATGACAAGAGGAAGAGATTGACCTCTTAATTTAAAATTGAGGTCAGTTATCAAAGTATAAGACGGGAAGGGTTCACAAGGGTCGCGCGGGCATATTCCATTCAGCACGCCACCCGGTCGTGGGCAGACGGTCGCCGAGTCGGAGTGCCTGCTAGGCCTATCTGCCGAGCTCGCTTGGTCGTTGTCGGTGGAATCGTGGCGGTTGGACCTTTTCCCGGGTGTTTGTGGATCCAACGTTCTTGTTCTTCGTGGTCTGTTTCAAGTACTTTTTACTTTTCTCTTGCTGCTTGAAGTCGGGACGCGTGAGAAGCGTACGTAGTAAAATAAACGTCCGTTGGTCGTCGCGACCGCGACGCTGTCGGCCATGGTGATTTGATCGTAAGAAGTGCGTAAGGCAGGTTCGGAGCTGTCGTAGGATTTCGTCGTAACCTGCTCAAAACTTACGAAAATTTCGTTTCGTGAATACGAATTTGTTCTCAAGTTTTGTCTTACGCACATTTTTAGCTTAAGATCGTTTCGTGAACCTGGCCTCTGCACTTCCGAAAGTCGCAGGAAAGGTAATTAGGCAGACGCAGACGACGTTGCGAGCAGACGACGTTGCAACGGAGCAGACGACGCTCAGATAGGGGGTCGCGATCAGCCAATCAGGGCTCGGCGTTCTGACGTCACCGCTACCCCCTGCGCAAGAATCAGACGAACTTGCCCTCCGCATAGGTTTCAAAACTTTCTATTTCATAACTCCGGTCCATCCGGTTTATCACTATCACTTTTAGAACAACGTAATGGATTATGCTGTCATCAAAATGACAAAATAAAGGGTATCAACGCGTCTTTGGTACAACATCCATTTTAAGTAACCCAGCTCTTCATGCCATCAAACGCTGGAACACTCTCCCTGAAACTATCGTTACAACCAAGCAATCAATCGGGAAATCAATCAATCAATTCATGCACAATATGCCCTTAAATAACTGGCAAGTCTTTTTTTTTTTTTTGGGGGGGGGGGGGGGGGGGGCTGCATGTACAGGAGGCGAAAGACAAACAAAAATGCTAGCTTTCTGAATTTCTAAGTGAGAGTTAAAAATAAAGAAAATAAACTGTTTCTCTAGACCTGCACGACCTGACGGTATAACAAGCTTAATCCAAATTAAAATACAAAAAAATGAGGGGCGTCATTGGCCAGAAGGTTTTTTTGTTCTTAAAGCGAATTAAAAAACAAAACAAAACAATTTTGCCGTTGGAACGAACGTGGAAAAATCTTGCAAAACAAAAATACTAGCAGAAATAAATAATTTTAATACACTCCTCTCAACTCCTCAGGATTAGTAATGAAGAAGTACACGTCATAATTATCTAATTTGCCATTCGTAAGCTACCTGCGTGTGAATGGCGTGCCAGACCCTAAGTCGTAAATTTAGTCATATTTGGGGTTATAACTTATAACGTGCCAAAGCAACACAGCGCACCTGGCACGCCCCAGCGGACGACCGAGGACTAATTTCGACCATCCGGGGATCTTTTGACGTGCAACCGAAATCTCGTTCTCCGCAATGATCCCCCGTCAGATTGCGGGCACCACGGCCGGGATTCCAAGCTGCTACCTAGAGATCCGTTGACCAGCGCTTTTGCACCTGGAGCCACCGAGTCTGCTAGTCGTAAAGGCAGAAAATATTTCATGAATCTATTTCGCCATCAGGGTACGTGTATTGAGATTCTACTTATTAGCAGGGGGGAATCAATAACAGAGATAAGCACCTTATAAAGAAACACCACGGCACGAGATCATGGCATGGCATCGCCCAGTAATAAAATAATAATGATCATTGCATATACAAAGTGCGATGCTGGGTGGCGTGCACGGCTGTGCAGAAACGTTAAACCCGTATGCGAGTGCACCTGCCAGACTGCACTCATGATTTAAATTGAAAAAAAAACAACAACAAGAAAATAGGATGAGAAACACACATACACACACGCACACATATACACATGTACTGAAGTTTGTACTCAATGTCGCAACGCAAAATGTTTTAAAAGAATAAGAAGGGCGAAAGTAGAGTGTACGGTTACTCCCACAAATACCTATAGAATGTATACACTCTGCCACGCGCACACACACACTCGCGCAGTAATTTCCCTTCACACCCCCAGGGGAGTGTACATCCCCCTTATTTTTCTGACGGCACCCTTTAATTCGCAACGACTCCTCTAATCTGAAGATCGTCCTTGATCTTTCCGGCAATGATGCGTGCATAGCTGTTAAATGGAACGTGAATGGCGGTTTTCAGACGCCTTTGGAGCTGCTTAGCTTCTTGGAATAGGAGAAGGCAGTGCATGCGGACAGCGTTAAAAAAAAAGAGTCCGCTTCCTTCTGGCCATCTTCAGTAAATCAGTGGTCATCCACGGGGACCGCTTTCGTCACGCTCAGCTTGAGGTGATTGGAACGCAGTCTTGCTGAATAGCGGCGACAAGGTCGCAACAGAGATCGTAATTCGATGCACAGTCAGTGGCTGTCAGTGACTGGGTCCCGTCCGTTTGCTGGCTGTGCAGTCTTGAAACGTATCTATAGTTCTTGTGTTTCCGTTGAGCTGACTCGCGTTTTCTCTCTATTGTAAAAAAACAGATAAACAGCCACTGACAGCTTAAGAAATGTTGGTTTAGTATGTTCACGGGGGGCACTTTGCTTCGTGATTCTGGCGTTCTTATCGGCTGATAGCGCAGTCCGATTGGCTGCAAGGCAAGAATTAAATGCTAGAAACTCCCCACACCCTGTGGTTTTTTAAGTGTCAGTGACTAGACAAATTAGCATTTTTATTTTAACATCTGCTTTTTCCGGTTGCTCTTTTTGTGATTTTCTTATTCTATTTATAATGGTAGTTTTCGTATTGTATGTTTTTTGTTCCCCATGATCTCTTCGTCGCAAACAACTCCCGTTAATGCCTTTGAATGGGCCTTTGAGGTTATTGTGTGACTAAATAAACAAATAAATTAAAAAAAAAATTGGCAGCTAAATTTTCCTTTAAAGGGACCATGAAATGATTTTAAAATCGAATTTCATCCACCGCACGTCGTAAAAGGTGTGAAAAGAAACCCAGAAACACAAAAATAGGGGACCAAAAATATTATTTGCTATAGAACTTTTAAAAGAAAACTGGACTCTTTTGCGCCTTCTTTCCTTCGCCTTTTCACTACGATGGATCCGCAGAAACGGAGCACGTCAGCCGAATCCACGTCGCCTATTGGGTAAGAGCCTACCTCACCTGCACCGCGATCGTAAACTATAAATAGCCGGCGAATGTTTCCTAAAAGTTTTGTTAAATAATATTCAGATCCACATTTTGTAGCATAATTAGAGATGTGTGGCGAAAATTGCCATTATTTGATAATGCTGAGAGCCAAGCGCCATCTATCGTGTGGTAAACGAAGCAACTACTGCGCGTGCGCAGTAGGGCAGGGCCGACTTCAGTTACTTGGGTCGCGACGACCGACGAACGTTTATTTCCTTTGATTTCCTTCCTCTCAAAACTCTGACTGACTGAACGTTTATTTTTCTACGTGTTCTTCTCGCGCGTGCCGACTTCAAGCAGCAAGAAAAAAAGTACTTAAAACAGACCACGACGAACAAGAACGCTGGATCTACAAACACCCGAGAAAAGCGACAATGGCCACGAATCCACCGACTCCGACGAAGCGAGCTGCTCAGAATATGGGCCTAGCAG